GGAGAACAGTGACACAGGCAAGATGACCTGTGAACAATTCAGGCCTTAGACTGGTCTGGATGGAAGGAGACGGGGAGCCTAGCCAAGGGGGCGCGAGGGGGCAGCAGCAGGGTTTCCCTGAGAAAGTGGGCCTCGAGGGCCATTAACAGTTACACAGGCAGGGGAGTGGAGGCAGTTCCAAGGGTGCAACAGGAGCAAAGACACCGGAGTGGATACAGGCCGGGCTATAGAGAGAGCCCTGTAATTGCAGCAGATGATTATCACTTGGATTAAATGAGACCAGGCAGGAGGGCCTGAGATCCAGGCCTGGTGCCTTTGTCAGGGCCCGAGTCAGCCCAGGGTCAGTTTATAAAATGGAGGTAATGAAAGCAGTGGGCTTGTAAGAATGCGACCCAGCATGTGAGAAGCACTGACAGAGTGCCTGTATGTGGCAGCTGCTCAGTTAATGGCCCATTTGTGTACCTGGGGGATCCGGAATTGGTGCCGTTTACTCCAGAGAACAGCACTGTCTTTTTTTTTTTTTTTTTTTTTTTTTTTTTTTTGTGGTACGCGGGCCTCTCACTGCTGTGGCCTCTCCCGTTGTGGAGCACAGGCTCCGGACGCGCAGGCCCAGTGGCCATGGCTCACGGGCCCAGCCGCTCCGCGGCATGTGGGAATCTTCCCGGACCAGGGCACGAACCCGTTTCCCCTGCATCGGCAGGCAGACTCTCAACCACTGCGCCACCAGGGAAGCCCCAACAGCACTGTCTTAATGAGGTTTTGAGTCTGATCTCTGACGGGTTTGCAGGATAGGCTGGAGGGGTCAGAGCTGGAGGCACAGGCTGCTCTCAGATAGGGAGCTCTTTCTATTGCCCAGCTCAGACCTGATGAGGGACAGACTGGAGAGAGACAAAACCTGTCACTAGCATTTAGAGACTGATTTTCTGCCTGGGGACAATGAGTAGGAATGTTTCCAAGTTGAAGTCAAGATTTCCTACCTTTCCACACTTAGTGTCTTTCTTCTTTTCTGCTTATTTCATTCCCAAAGACTGGCGACCCTCTCTGTGTCTTACCTTGCTGACTAGGAATTTAATTACCAGCCATGCAGTCATTACACCAGATTCCACCCCGGTGAAAGCCCGTGGCATGTTCCATGGGCGGTATTGTGATGCACACGTGTCTGCAGCACTTGGTTATCTTTAAAAGCTCTTCTTACCCCCATACCGCGAAAGTTCACGGACCCTTTGGCCAGCGGCACCTGCCACAGCCTTGCCTGGAGCCGAGAAGGCAGCGGGAAGGAAAGGGCTTCTCATCCAGGGGCCGAGCAGGGGAGGAAGTACAGGCCCTTTTCATGTGCTCACAGCATGAGAGTCCAGCGTCCCTCACAGTGCCCAGAAAGAGGCTGTCTGGAAGGTGTGACGCTGCAAGCCACCAGGGACCCTGCCTTTTACAGACTTGAGAAGTGAGTAGAATGGACACGATGTACCCGAGAATGAGACCTGTTCGTCTGGCCCCTGGAAGAGCCAGCAACAACTTCTCTGCTGTGTGTATGTAGGCAACATGGGGCAACTTAAGATTCACTCTGCTTTATTCCTTAAAACAGACCTCTCCCTTCTGTTAAAAAAAAAAAGAAAAAAGAAAGAAAGAAACTTGGAAGCTGGCTTATATTGCAAAATGAACCCACCTAAAATACACTTTTATGAAGTGTTCTGCCATTCTTTTTTTCCAGATGCTCACTTAACATGACAGCTGGGGTGTAGTAAACCACAAAAGGCTACTTTAAAGGAGAGGGATTTGGCTTAAATCCACTGAAGCAGAGCTAAAGTTGATCTAGCCATCCATCCTTAACTTAGTTTAATTATGCCTGGATGTTCCAGTTCTCTGGGCAAATTTTTGAAATACCTGAGTAGAGCAAGGTGGAGTTAAATACTGGTTTTAAAATGGCTGGTTTCTTTCCTGCCTTGCAAAGAAAGTCGAAGTGGATGTCTCACAAGTTGCCACCCTCCTGCACACCAGAACACTGCCAAGCTTTAAAAGCAATTAAAAGGTTAGGATTGGGAGGGTCCTTAAATTACAGAGATTAGCGACTCAATCTGTGGATGACAGACGATACTAAGAACTCTGGCAACCTATAGAAGCCTCCCAGAGGGCTGTGTACCCTTCTCCTCTTTCCCCAAAGGTACAGCTTTTTTGTCTGCTCCCACAGACCACGTGCAAGGCAGGATGTTGACAGGTAGATTTTCTTAAGTACTAGCCATTATAGTCTCAAGTCTCTTTGTGGGCCACATGAAGAGAAACCAAAATTGTTATGAATTAGAGCTAGTGTTTGGTCCAGACAGCCTCTGGGGATTGAGCAGCATAAATATATACAATTTCAAAAGCAAGAAGTTCTGCGCTCCATATGGGGAGCTAATGAAATGCAAATCTGATACTTCAAGTATTGTTCTCACTCTGATGTTCAACTCCTTTTCTCTTAAATGCAAAACAGAAGGACTCAGCAGAAAGACACCATAAAGTGGTTTCTTCAACTCCGTGTGAAAAGGACACAGAACTAATCTTTTTTTTTTTTTTTTTTTCTTAAATAAGTGGAGCTCTTCTCGTGGTAACTAGACATTTCCACAGCCAGCTGGTTTTCATCAGTGGCAGTTTCAACCTTACTTAATGTCCCACTTCTTTGGCCTTGCATGGCTACACCATGGTGTTTGCCCTTACTTGACTCAAGAGCGTTTAGTGTCCTGGAATCTAGGGCTACCCAGGGCCCATGTGGTAGAGACCTTGATGCCAGGATACAGTTTTTCCCATCATATGTTTTACCCATGCCAACTTGGCTAAATTGTTCCATTTAAGTTTGGGAGTTTTCCATTATGATGTTCTAGTGAACATATTCATGGGAAATGACTGACTCCAAAATGACTAAATCAATCTAGAGACGTCTGCCCACATCCAGAGTCACTGTCCACAGGCCAGGAGTTATTATGGTGCTACAACTTGGACTAGGGAAGAGAATGGGTCTTATTCTAGAACATGGACAATTTGGCACATTGCCTAGGTGCTCTATTTGGGTTTGAAAGCATGAAATAGCAGATAATGATATTTGTACAATAGGATTCCCAAATCTGTTCCTTCCCTGGCCTACTTATTGGTACATGAAACAACATTCAGTTTCAATGGCAGGATGGATGGTTTTAACAAGATCATGTCAAAATCTGGAGAAATAGGACAAGCCAGAGGTGTCCAGAGTGGATTCTTTCCTCCTTCGTGGGCTTTATGGCCACCCCTGCACTCATCCAACCCTCTCGTTTACCTGGGAGAGTACAGCTGACCATGTATGCTTCATGTACCCTTGTGTGGAGTGTTTCAGCTTATCAATAGATTCTCTCAAACATTATAACCACCTTTAAAATAAGCACCATGTCTTCTAATTATTTTTTAATTCTCCCAGGTCTAATGGGTGCTCTATACAGAGAGGAAACTCTGATGAAACAATGGGTATGAGAGCACTTTGGGAACTTTCCTGATAACCCTACTAAGCGCTGTTTATTTATCAAATAGCTGCCCTTGAATATTAATGTTACATAAGTACTGCTGCTTTTTTTTTTTCTGGGTGGAAAAGTCTGCCTTGCAGAGTATACGTATAGTTTATTGAGCCTTTTCTATGGCCACACACTATGCTAAACATGTCTCATGCATTACTTCACTTCATACACAGACAAAAATCCTTTTTTTTTTTACATAGGTTATCGTTATCTCTATTTTATAGATGAAGAAACTGAGGCTGAAGAAAAAAATTTTTCCAATTTTTCTGACACTGACCAAGAAATGTCAGAGCCAGGCACAGCCTGTCTGATGCCAAAGTCCCTTCCTTCAAACGTTACACATGAAGGCTATATGCCTTGCTCTGTATTTGTGTGTTCATGTCTTTATTCCCAGTCCTAAATGTCATTCTTCTCGAAGATCATAAACTAGAAGAACAGATCGAATAATTGCACTATAACACGTTAGTGGTAGCTTATAAGGAAGTAAGATTTTTAAAATAAGTCTGGGTCTGATGCTTACAAGTAGAACAAAAGAATGACCCTATTGTTACAGCTAATAATCTGATTAAGATTTTTTGCCCTGGTTAAGACTTTTGGTTGTATGCAATAAAAACATATTTTTACAAGTATGTTTTAATTTCAACTCTTTTCACAGTCACTACTTTGTTGTCCTGCCAGAATCAAGACATAAATCCTTAATATAAATTAGTAAATCATATGAATTAATGGTAGACAGAAAAACAGAAAACAGATTTGGGTTTTTGCTTAAATCATTCCCTATGAGATATTAACTAGATAAGCATTATTTGTAAAAAGAATTTGGGATTAGCAATCAAAAGTCTTGGGTTTGTGTTAGATACTGCCCCTTTGTATATGTTTGACCTTGGGCAAATCACTTAGCCATTCTGAGCCTCATTTTCTCCCTCAATTAAAAAAAAAAATCATCACAGTTAATTTGAATGCCAAATGAAATAATACATATGAAAACTCCTCAGCTATGCATTTTATTTTGTATATCAACTATTCAGTTTTTTAACAATAACATAGATCCTGCTAACCTTCTCAAAATCCATTTTTAATATGAGAGCGAACTTTAAACACTCCTGACACATAAGTTAAAAAGTTAGTTTTCCCCTTTCCCCTTCAATGTGTGGATACTATATATTAAAGAAAACAGGTGTGTGTGGATGTTTTCCCTATTTCTCATCCTCCAATCCCTTGTTTAAGGAAACTAAATGGTAGAACATAACAGCTTTGTTCTCTGTGTCAGCAGAGCATTAGAAAGCCCTGGAAGAATGTTAAAGCCGTTTCAAAATACTATTTTTAGGGGCAACATTGTCAGGAAATAAGCTTTCACTGAGAGATTTGGAGAAAAACTGGCACTTGAAGATCAACAGCTGGGATAGCAAAATGAGTTTACCTTGTATTAAATGTTTACGGCTCAAGCCAATATCGTTAACAACAAGTAAAATATTCTTTCTCCAGGTTGAAATTATCCAATGATGAAATCAAACGGGCAATTCTAACCATGGATGAGCAGGAAGATCTGCCCAAGGACATGTTGGAACAGGTGAGCTGCAGGGCAACGCTCAGAGCACGGGTGACACCAGACTCTCAGCAGGGAGGGCGTACTGAGGAAAGAAATCTGGTTGTTCCTGGTAGATGATTTCCTCATCTCTGAATTGAGGAGGTTGAACCAAGGTTCCACACAGCTCTGTCAGAAGCCTCTAGGACTTGATTCTTCCCTTGTTTCCAAAATGATGGGTGAGAAGGACGGTCCAGACTTCGTCAAATGCCTGGGACCCTCGATGCTGGAATCTGTCTCTCATGCTGCCTGCCATCAAGTTGTTACTCCTTAGCAGGTCATAGAAATCTACTAGCTTTAGTAGAAAATGTCTCTTTCACTGGAATATTGAGAATTTCAGCACTGTGAGGTCACAGGCTGCACTGCATAAACTGAGTCATTGCTTAATCCCTGACACAATTTGTGTCTTGGTCTTGGCTCGCTGTTCTCACAACCACAGAAGCCACTGTTAACCCCCTAGCACTGTCATCTTCATCAAAACACTCGTATGTGTCATAAGGTGGGGTTTAAACTTCTTGGGGCTGGGCCTTGTCTCCGTAAGTTGTATAGCACCCTTCTTGCATTGTAAATGGCAGGAAATTCAAATGCTGGGGATAGTAAGTATGGTGTAGATTTATACACAATCAGTATACATCCTTGTCCGTGGTATTTGAAGATAATTTGTATTTTTTAATGTCCAGGCAACAAATTGGATGTGGTGCCCTAGCCTCTCCTCATGCAGTGTTTCCATAACATGCTCCATGCAGCCACTCCAGCTGTGTTGTGTGTTGTCAGCAGCTTGGTTCTGTTATTTCTCAAATGATACTGTTGATGATACTGTACTAGCAGATGCCCCAGGGATTGTTACCTATCTCTCAGTCTGGCCCTAAATTTTTCTGTGCATTGTGGGGACAGTCTCTGAATGCCCTAAGCCTGTTCTGTCTCCTTGTTCCTGCAACAGAATCATATTTTGAGAGATTTTGGTGAAGAGGCCTCCATTTGTTAGAGCCAGGACCACTTAAGGTCAACAGTGGACACAGGTGATCATGATTTCAGGCTGAACTTGAGGTATCACCTGTAGGCAGGCTCAGCTCCCAGGAGAAGAGGAAATGGATATTTTGCTCCGCCAACAGGGATCCCAGTGGAGTGCCTGTATGCATGTGCATTTTCCACGGTTCTCACTGATTTCCCAGAAGGCCTCAGATACCAGGCAGGGAGGAGTGATGTGTGTGGTATCACCACACCTCCATGGACCCGCCCCTCCCTGAAACCTCTGCAGCTGCAGTCATCCTGGGTGAAAACCGTTACACTTAGCAGTGGAGAAACTTTTCTTGCTGTCCTTTTAAGTTTTGATTTAGTTCCCAAAATAGCTAATGACTATGTTTCCAAGACTGTTCAGATGCTCTGTGTATAAATAGTTTAGACGTATTCCTTTTTTCGAGCATTTTTAGCTCCTCTGCCCACTTTTCCCTCCCTCGCGGAATACCGGTCAAAACAGAGCCTCTGCCCCAAGAGAGTGGAGCCCAGCTGCCCTCTGTCCCTCCCTGGCCCCCAGGGAGGGACCCTGCGCTCCAAATGCCTGCATCAAAAATTGCTTCACCCAGAGTGAAGAACTAAGCAGAAAGCTGCTTTAGTCCTTAGGTCTTCAGCCTCTATCGATAAGGTCGTATGCTTAAAATTCCACAAGATCTGTTTACTGTGAAATTGCAACCAGCAAAATTCCTCCTTGAGGGAAAGGATTTCAGAATCTTGCCAAAAGGCCTTGTAGTGCAAATAGAACGTACTTCAAATAAATACAAGTAAGAAAATCAGTCTACTGAAGCAGAATCTGGCCAAGTGGATACTTTTGACCTGGCCTCTGCTGATAGTTGTGGGTGTCTTGCTCTCTGCTCATCTCCCAGGTTCTTTCTTTTCCTCCTTATTCTACCCCCCTTCCTCTGCTTCCTTTGCCTTCACACAGCATCCTTTACTACTTGTTATGATCTGCATTTGAGCCACATTCCACCCCTCCTTTCCTGCTGCTTTTAGCCACTGAGATCAGATCTCAGATGAGATCCATACACTCCCCTTTCTTGGGATGCACACCTTTCTCCTTATCTCCAGGTGTTTGTCTGGCTCTTCATTCCTCTCAAAACTGTCCAAACACAGTCTGTTCTTGACTCTGACTTGAGACGGCCTGAGCCTTTAGCCTGTGCCTCTCACTGTGCTCTTGTGAGTAACAAGAGACATATGGTGTCTGTGTTATCCTGAAGAGGGGCCTGTAGGCTCAGCAGGGCAGGTATGGGGGGATCCCTGAAACTAGAACTGAATTTCCTTGTCCAGAAGGAAAAATTCCAAACTCAGGGGAAAAAAATAAGCCTTGTCCTCTCTCTTCTTCCTTCCTTCCCTTGCCCTTCTACCTTCCCTCCAACACTGAGGAAGAACAAGAAGACACTTGTCCAGTGTTACCATTTGAACATGGGAACATCCATGCCTAGAAGCTCTCAGGCCACCAGACCTGTGAATTCCCTGGCATCTACTTCCGTCTTTCCGCCTTCCACCCCATTAGGAGAGAGGGGTGTCCCTGGCTTCTGCTCTGCCCCATCCTTTCCTTCTGCTCAGGGACCTCGCCCAGAGGGCCCTGCCCCTCTCCTCAAGGTCTTCTACCTTGCCCTCTCAACATGTAACTTGTTCAGGTCCCAGCCCTTCCCACACACACCTCTTAAGACCGCATATCCCCATCTGACTGTCCTCTCTCTTTTTTTTTTTTTTTTTTTTTTTTTTGGGTGGCCGGCCCCCT